GCGGCATGGTATCTCAGTAAGCTAGCACTATAAAACCAGCTTAGGTCTGGGCTAGTACAAGCAGCCACACACAACATAGTTGTTGTCATATGAGCGAAATAATCTTAGTGCGACGTTAAACCCCATTTCTCCTCACCTCACCTCTTTTCCTTTCTTGCCCTGATGAACATGCATGGCCTTAATTGGCCAACATCCCTCCAGCTGGTGATTCGGAACGAGAATCTTTTGTTCTTGTTTTTCCTGACTTGAGACATAGCGTCAAGCACCATCCTCGTATAGCCCATGTTTCTTCCACTTATCTAAACTGTTCCCCTTTTACTATGTATAAGGTCATTGGCGTAGCCTAGTGGTCGAAGTGTTCACTTATCACACCAAAGACATGGGTTCAAATCCACCACTGGGCTACCCCACTGTCAGTATTGTAGATGGTATAAAATGAGTGATCACCATGTTGAATATAGTAATAGTAGGGCGGTGGGGTAGTCTAGTGGTAAAAGCGTTGGCTCGTCACGCTGAAGACCCGGGTTCGAATCCCCACCTTGGTACAATGAGTGAAGCCCATTTCTGGTGTCCCCCGCTGTGATGTTGCTGGAATGTTGCTAAAAGCGGCGTAAAACCAAACTCAGTCAGTCAGTAATAGTAATAGTCCGCTTATATGGCGCTCATATCCAGGCACATTGCCTGCTCGTGGCACGACGTACATTGATATGGAAATATGAGATGGAAATATCTGGTTTTTTTGTCTGGAAACCAGACAGCATATTTACAAAGTATCTATTTCCCCACACATCTATTCCAAAAAAACCAAACTGTTACATTTACATGTGTAAATAATAAGTAACCACTGAATAAAAATAAATGGTGAATTTTTCCTTTAAAAATCATGTTCTGTTCAATACACATGTGTGTGCTATATACAAGTAGATTTATGTTGTATATTTGATACTGCACATATAATGTAACCACAATTACCTGCCCTTTCTTGTTATTCCCCATCAGTTTAGAGTGCTTTATTCACTGGTCTCTTGGGATATAAGTATTTAATTCATCTGATCCTTGGTTGATTGGGGGTGGTGGGGCAGCCTATTGGTTAAAGCGTCCGATCGTCATGCTGAAGACCCGGGTTCAATTCCCCACATGGGTACAATGTGTGAAGTCCATTTCTGGTGTCCCTCGCCGTGATATTGCTGGAATATTGGTAAAAGTAGCGTAAAACCATACTCGCTCACTTGGTTGATGGGTAAGGAGTACCTGAATATTGCCATTGTCATGGAAACCAACCATCAGGAAATTGAACTGAAACTAGCATCAGTGCCATCCTGATGGAAAAACTGAAGCTCAAAGTTCTCTTGCAGCCAAAGCCAAAAGGACATTAAATTTTAATAGTTACAAATGCTTCATTGAAAACATAAAATCTGGGGTTGGGAAGTTGGATAAAACAAATAGCATATTCCAGCAATATCATGGCAGGGGACACCAGAAATGGGCTTCACACACTGTACCCATGTGGGGAATTGAACGGACGCTTTAACCATTAGGCTACCCCACCGCCCCAAATAGACAAAGAAAAATTGACTAACTTGTAAACAGCTTGTACTGAGCAGGTCATGTTTGACGCTTATGGCTGGTTCGTTACAACAATAAAAACAAATATTGCATGCAGCATTGTTGGCAATTTCACAGTTGCTTCCCTTAGTTACACCAGGATCTGTTGATTATGGACCCATGAAGATCCAGGGTTAGAATTATTCTTCAGCAACCCATGCTTGTCGTAAAAGGCAACTAATGGGATCGGGTGGTCAGACTTGCTGACTTGGTTGACACAAGTCATCATATCCCAATTGCGCAGATTGATGCTCATGCTGTTGATCAATGGATTGTTTGGTCCAGACTCGATTATTTACAGATTGCCGCCATTGGAATATTGCTGAGTGCGGCGTAAAACTAAACTCACTCTTTAAGTTGTGTTGATCATGATGTCTTGCATCCCTTAGTTCCTCCAGGTCCTGTTGATTGTACTTCATTGTATCCCTTAACTGTGCAGAGAGTTGCTTCCCTTTCACTGAACCAGGATACTCATGCTTTTGGTTAATATCAGCACCATGCCATAGTTGTTGTCGTTTAATTTCTACAACCTTTAGATATTTAGGACTTCCTTACAGATCTGCATAGTTGAGTGGTAACAGTGTTTGCTTGTCACACTGAAACCCATGGTTGATGCCCTAAAAGGGTACAATACGTGAGTGAGTGAGTGAGTTGGGTTTTAGGCCGCTTTTAGCAATATTCCAGCAATATCACAGCGGGGGACACCAGAAATGGGCTTCACACATTGTACCCATGTGGTGAATCGAACCCGGGCCATCGTCGTGACGAGCGAACGATTTAACCACTAGGCTACCTCACTGCCCCGGTACAATATGTGAACGCCATTTCTGGTGTTTCCCTGTAAGACTCCTTAGCAAAGATTTTCCCTCTGCCGCGGCCTTTCTTTTTCCAACAAAACCTCAGAGTCGGTTTTGATCCTTTAATTAATGCCTCTTTTACAAATATTACGGCAATATCTTGTTGGGGAGACACAAATGGGCTTCACACATATATGGGGAATTGAACCCAGGTCTTGGGCATGACAAGCGAACGCTGTACCCACCAGGCTAACCCAACACCTCTTCTACATAATCTGTACATAGCTGGATATTTGTGTCAATCTCTCTCACACACTCCACGGACCTTTCAATCAGTAGCAATCACAACACTCCATTTGTTTATGAACCTATACATAAATATGGATCCAATGAATATATAGGTTGTATATCTAGCTATCTGTGCGGCAGCTGGTTCTGAATAGAGATGATATAGAGTCTGTGCAGCAATATAAACAGTTATCACATGCAGTAATCTCAGCTGGGCAGAATCAGAAAGAGTCAAGTTCATTGAGAAACTCTGTGAATTTTTTTTGTTGAAGTCACATAAAAGAACATTAATGGAAAAACTGGTCAAGTCATGTAGCATATGTTATATTTGGGATTGCACCTCGGTAAAGTGGGCGGTGGGGTAGCCTAGTGGTTAAAGCGTTCGCTCGTCACACCGAAGGCCCGGGTTCGATTCCCAACATGGGTACAATTTGTGAAGCCCATTTCTGGTGTTCCCCCCGTGATATTGCTGGAATATTTGCTAAAAACGGCGTAAAACCATACTCAGTCAGTCTTGGTAAAGTACAGATTCTAGTACTTAAATTAAGTCATGATACATGAATGAATACTTTTTTTAATGATGGCCAGCACACAAAGTCAGCGATCTAACCCACTCAGCCACCTTGGTCTCCACAGAAATGGAAGTTGGAGAACTAGTAATCTAGATTATGTACCCCTCTGACAAGTGTAAATTGCAATGGCTCCGACGGCCCAAACCTATGAATACACAGTGCCATTTAGAAAGTGAGTGAGTTTAGTTTTACGCCACACTCAGCAATATTCCAGCTATATGGCGGCGGTCTGTAAATAATCAAGTGTGGACCAGACAATCCAGTGATCAACAGCATGAGCATCAATCTGCGCATATGGGAACCGATAACATGTGTCAACCAAGCCAGCGAGCCTGACCACCTGATCCCATTAGTTGCCTCTTACGACAAGCATGGGTTACTGAAGGTTCATTCTAACCCGAACCTTCACGGGGACCTTTTAGAAAGTGGTCAAATGTGTAATATTTGGGATAACATCTTTTCAGTGAAGTGCAGATTCTAGTACTTTTTTCATGTTGTGTCCTAAACCAGATTCAAACCTACACTCTCCGAGTCAGGCACCAAATCACCAGAAGTCAGCAATCTAACTGTTATCCCAAATGTCATATGTTATATATTGTGGGCATAGTTCTACTGCAAATAAAGTTGAGTCTCGCCTCAATTACAGTTGCCTAGCCAGATGACACAGTGGGAAAAAATATTATAAAAAAGTCTCCGCCATCAGAGAGCTGTAAGTAAGCAGGAGTGGAATCATTACAAACTTTCTATACTTCATAGACTTTGGGGCAAGCACAGTAGTTAAAGCTCCTCGGTTTGATTCCTAACTGGGTACATAGCAACCTAGTTATTGAAGGGCTAGTAATGATTCAAACCTAATATTTGCACCCCACCGAACTGTTTGTCAGTGGCACACTCAATCTCACAGCTTAACATGGCAGGGGTGGATGCAGCTTTTTGAGAAAGGAGGGGTGCACACTATTGAGAAAAGGGGGGTGCACACTTCATTTTCACCCGAGTTTCAATGGTCATTGAACAAACTTTCAGGACAAAAGGAGGGGTGCGCACTCCTACTCCCCTCTGGATCCGCCTATGCTTGGGTATGACCATTTTGAATGCCAGTACGCATAACACTGTTTCTGGTTAGTTTATGGGTCCAGGACAAATGACGCTGAACTATTCTTGCAGTCGTGATAGAGTTCAGGAAATCCAGCTCTCAAATCTACAGGTTTACATGGTGTTTATTGTTACTCACTAACTTCTAGGGGCGGTGGGGTAGCGTAGTGGTTAAAGCATTCGCTCGTCACACTGAAGGCCCGGGTTCGATTCCCCACATGGGTACAATATGTGAAGCCCATTTCTGGTGTCCCCCGCTGTGATATAGCTGGAATATGGCGTAAAACTAAACTCACTTACTCACTCACTCACTCACTCACTCACTCACTCACTCACTCACTCACTCACTCACTCACTCACTCACTCACTCACTCACTCACTCACTCACTTCTAAAATGCCAAATAGCAGATGACATCACATGTTTGTTTGCAGAATTGATATGTTGTTTTTTTTATGTTTGTTTTTTTGTTGCTTACTTATTTGTGGACATTAGTCTCTTGAACTTGGTGAAAATCAGGACAATACCTTCTTCAGTTTACCGATATGTTGCATACACTAGTCAGTGGTGAGATTCGGCTCAGTTGTTTCATACTCAAGGTGGGTCTGTACCTAACTGAGTTCTCAGAGATTAACCTTGTGTTGCAGGTTACTGATGCCCCCGCTGTGACCCCGACCAACACTGCAGCAACCCAACAGATACAGCAGCTGCTTCCCCAGCAACTACCTCTCACCATGTCAGCTGCGGGCATCATCATACAGAACCACCTCGGACAGCATGCTGTTGTACGTACCCAGCAGAACTCACACAACCCACTTACATCTTTACTTGTCTGTAGATACAGGCTCGTTCATTACACACCATACATAGAGCAAGCCATGCTTCTTTTGAAGCTACCCGTGAGGATATGTGTTAGAATTTGCCTTCAGCAACCCATGCTTGTGGTAAGAGGCGACTAACAGGATTGGGTGGTCAGGTTCGCTGTCTTGGTTGACACATGTCATTGTATCCCAACTGCGTAGATGGATGCTCATGCTGTTGATCACTAGCTTGTCTGGTCCAGACTCTATTATTTACTGCCGCCATATAGCTGGAATATTGCTGAGTGCGGTGTAAATCTAAACTCACTCACTCACTCTTTACATGTCAGTGAATGTTTGTTGATGATGTTGTTTTTGTTCAGATTCCTGTGACGGCTGCACTCCCGGCTGGCTTGTCCATCACGCCCCAGGATATCCAGCAGCTTCAGCAGCAGCTACTGCTACAGCAACAACTGCAGGTAGCAACACCATGTGGTACTTGATTTCCTGGGCTACGTTAGAGAAAGTGGCTGAAGTGCTCAAATCGTCATGACTCCCATTGTCTTATGATTGTCTTAGTGCTGTGATTCTACCTACCATCCATGGAACTGGGCCCTAGATCACAGGGTTACGATGAGTTGATTGTGTGGGCTCTAATTCAAAAGCTAGAATTCTATTAAATTCGTTTTAAGTCCCATGATTGTACCTACCATCAGTGCCACGATCTATTTGTGGAGATGAACACCAGCCTAACAAATCCCTCTTGTTTGGTTCAGGACTACAGGGATAAACTATCCAGCATATCATATATGATATGGCAAAAGATGAATTATAATTAGAATCATTGTCTTGGGATTCATCAGGTACAACAGGCCCAGACAACACTAGCAAGTTCAGTGCAGCAGCCTTCGTCCACGCGACAGGCCCAGACAACATCCATGGTGCAGGTGCCAACACAGACACCTGTCAAGGCCCAGCAGGCGATGTCTGGCATCCAGTTCCAGGCTGCCACGCCCGTCACCACCGGCCAGTCAGCAGCCACCCTGCAGCCACAGGTAGGGAGGTCACCAATCATGTGGGGTGTGGGATAATGGGGTGTAGTGAATTGATGCGTAACACAAGGATGGGATAATGGGGTAAAGTAATATGATGCATAACACAGGGATGGGGTATAGTGATATGATGCATAACACAGGGATGGGATAATGGGGTGTAGTGAATTGATGCATAACACAGGGATGGGATAATGGGGTGTAGTGAATTGATGCATAACACAGGGATGGGATAATGGGGTATAGAGATATGATGCATAACACAGGGATGGGATAATGGGGTATAGTGATATGATGCATAACACAGGGCATGGGATAATGGGTGTAAAGTGATAAGATGCACAACACAGGGATGGGGTATAGTGATATGATGCATAACACAGGGATGGGATAATGGGGTATAGTGATATGATGCATAACACAGGGATGGGGTATAGTGATATGATGCATAACACAGGGATGGGATAATGGGGTATAGTGATATGATGCATAACAGGGATGGGATAATGGGGTATAGTGATATGCATAACACAGGGATGGGATAATGGGTGTAAAGTGATAAGATGCAGGACACAGGGATGGGATAATGGGGTATAGTGATATGATGCATAACACAGGGATGGGATAATGGGTGGAAAGTGATAAGATGTATAACACAGGGATGGGATAATGAGGTATAGTGATATGATGCATAACACAGGGATGGGGTATAGTGATATGATGCATAACACAGGGATGGGATAATGGGGTAAAGTGATATATGGGGGATGGGATAATGTAGGTATAGTGATATGATGCATAACACAGGGATGGGATAATGTGGGTATAGTGATATAACAGGGCATAACACAGGGATGGGATGACTTTGAGTGGCATAGACTGACCGATGACTGAGTTTGGTATAACACAGGGCTTTTAGCAATATTAGGTAGCAATATCATGGGGGACATAGAAATGGGCTTCACTTACCCATGTGAGTGGCATTTTAGAAGTTGGGAAGTACAATATAGACAACCTTTATGGATAACAAGCTCTGTATTTTTCATGAGTGCGATGTTTCGATACAGATGCTTGCTTGTACAGTAGACAAACACTCCTCATTAATGGTGTCATAGCCGTGTCATGTGTAAGTGCACAGATGGCGGTCCAACTGCAGTTAAATCACTGAATACAGCTAGCTTTGCCAGTTCTAAGTACAAAAACTAAACACACCAACTGCAGTGATAGAGCTAATGGTATTGCTTGAAATATCTGTGTACACTTTCACGACTTACCATAGTATTGAAAAGCATGGTTGATATTAATTATTGGGTGAATGTAAATTTATGATGCATACTAGATGTTACACGTTACCAACCAATCACAGGTTCTAACACATGCAGCTGGCCACACAACTAGTTCTGATTTTGTGCTAGAGGAACATACAGATGCTCTCTTTGTTGATGAAAGGGATGTAATTTCAGTTATCCCCCTTTACAGTGCTAACTTCACCTCTTGATTGTGAGTTTCAAATTAGAAGTGATATGTCACACAGGTAAATGTAGTTAAGTTAGTACTGGGGAATATTTAACATATATTGACCTTTTGCCCAGAGTTTATATACCCACATATAGTCTTTGTCTTGCCTCAAGTCGCCACCCTTTGATATAACATAAAATTTATGTACAAAGTAAGTGACCCCCCAAGCATATCATGTACAAAATCAATGGTTGGTTGTTTTGTTGTTTAACTGAGCAATATTCCAGCTGTGTGGCTCCGGTCTGTAAATAATTGAGTCTGGACCAGACAATCCAGTGATCAACATCATGATCATCGATCTACACAATTGGGATACGATGACGTGTCAACCAAGTCAGCAAGTCTGACCACCCGACACTGTCAGTTGCCTCTTACGACAAGCTTATGTAACTGAAGGCCAATTCTAACCCAGATCTTCACAGGTCAGTTGTCCTTGTACCTTCCTTGGGTTTGGATCATTTCAGCATCAGGGAAAGATCTCACGGTTTCTGTTGCAGGTCCAGACGATCCAGCTGCAGACGGCCCAACTGGGAGGACAGGCTCTGGCCGGCATGCAGCAGCTGGTGTTTATCAACCCCACGACCTTGACCTCCATGCAGCCTCAGCTCCTTGTGCAGAATCAGGTTGGTAGGGGCAGTACTCTGATAACTAGCCCTAAACGTGGCTTGACGATAACTGGCCCTAATTATGGCATGCCGATAACTGGTCCTAATCAAGGCTTGCTTAGCAACTTAGAGAACTCATGATGCCTGCATTTCATACCACAATGATGGACTTATAGAGAACAGCTATTTCGTATTTTGTGGAGGGTAGGAGATAATTATAGATTATAAATGTGGATTATAAATTCAAATATTTTTTTTTGGCTCGTGTTTCCGCTAAAATTATGTGTGGTAGGTAAAAACTGCTTCATGTCTACAAAATCCCAGGATCTTTCCTTTCATATCAAATGGTTGGTCGATACGTAATGTAATACCTATGGTGGTACGTAGAGTGCCTGCATTTTATGCCACTCATAATTTGCAGAGTTCACGAATGGTGATTAAAAGTAACAGGACATTGGGTCCTGTAAGTTTCAGATGTCTGTCTGACCCATTGAAAATTCACAGGACCCATAGAATGAAATTAATCACACCTTTCAGATTTAACATTTCTTATAATTGGCATTGCAATTATTAACAAACATAACATTTAAACAGCAAACAAGTGTCACATGTCGCATATAACAACTTCAGTCAAAGTCATTGTGAAATATACAGTCAGACACTGGGGCTGGCAGGTTGTAGACTTCTATCGGACCGTTGGTGAATCTCCCGGATTTGTCAGAGGGTCAGACGCTATTCGTAAACACTGAATTTGTAGTGAGGCTAATAAATAGAAAATAGTTAAAATAAATCCACATATATTTTTCAGTTCTGCTCATGATTTGTGATTAAAACAGTGTCATATTTTTCAGTCTTAGGTGAAAATATATCTAGTCTGCTTACAACATACAGGGCCCTTCCCAAGGATATTTAATCATTGGTCCCTAACTTTTAAGACGTATGCAGTTGCACTAATACTAGCCATAAAGTGAATAATTGAAGAGTGAGGTATAAACGAAACACAGTGTTACCACTTTCTGACTGAGATATGTTATTATTGTATATAGAATAAGTATTTCATAATCGCTAAAGAAACCTGAAACTGAACTTATGAATATTTCGCTCATATGACGATGTGCATGCGTGTGTATGTGTGGCTGCTTGTACTAGCCCAGACTTAAGCTGGTTTTACAGTGCCAGCTCAATGAGATACCATGCCGCAGTTAAGCATGAATAGCCCACTCAGACACATTATACTGACTCCGAGCCGAACAGCCCTTGATGTACCCATTAATGCCGAGGACCAGTCACGAACCATATTATTATTTTAATGTCTTTTGGTATGACACGGCGGGGGATCATCCGTGATCTCTGCTCTCCGGGCGAATGTTCTTACCACTACACCACTTGAAGACACAGCCAGGTTTTGTTTCCCAATCACTGGTTTGTCTGACCCACACGTTCTGTGTCTGCAGCATAGTCTCCCAGTACTGCAGAACCTCGGAGCAGTTGCAGTGGCCCCACAGCAGACACCATCAGCACAGCCAGCCGTGCAGGCAGTGCAACAGCAACAACCGCAACAGCAGCAACAACAACAGCAGCAAGTACAGCAGACCAGCCCTGTCACAACCATGGCAACAACAACGGCAATGAGCCCCACCACGCCGACACACCAGACTATGCAGCTCTCGGTGATGGAGGTTGGTACTTACAGCTAATACTTCTCATTATTACCCTTAAAATAAATTGGTTGAATTCTGATTGGTCAATAGCCAAAGCATACGAAACCATGTAGGCGGATTTGCCAGGGTGTACAAACCATACACCCCCGTCAAATCTGTCACGTGACACACTACACTGGTTGTACAAATGACTTTGACCTTAGGTGGAATGTGGCTGCCAAACTGCTGATCGCTTCGAAGTTTTAGAGTTGGCGTATGCAATTATAAGTATAAACAAACAAATACAGTTGATGCCATAATTTCTTATTTGTTTGTGTCAATAAAAATATATAAAAAATAAAATATTTCTGTATTTCACTTGTTGTTTAACAAAGACCTCCAATTCGATCATTTTATCATAAACTAAGCCATCATGTGTTATCTCCCTTTATGAGTTTATTGTCGTTTCATGTTATTTTCTATTGAATGTTAGTTTTTAAAGATAGGAGATCTTAAGGGTAATAAATTCGTCGCACAATGTTTTGAAAGGGTGTACTGGACTGTGAGTGTACAGACTGAACTCCATTTCACCTTCAAACCTCACCTCACCTCACCTCACCTCACCACACGACATGACACCTCACCTCATCTCACAACATGACACCTCACCTTACCTCACCTCACCAGAACGCATGTCTTCACTTCACATCCTCAACTCACCCAATTTCACCTACATCACCTCACCTCACCTCACCAGAACGCATGTCTTCCCTCCCCATCTTCACCTCACCTAATTTCACCTACATCACCATACCTCACCACCAGAATGCATGTCTTCACTTCACATCCTCACCTCACCTAATTTCACCTACATCACCTCACCTCACCTCACCAGAACGCATGTCTTCACTTCACATCCTCACCTCACCTAATTTCACCTACATCACATCACCTCACCTCACCAGAATGCATGTCTTCACTTCACATCCTCACCTCACCTAATTTCACCTACATCACCTCACCTCACCTCACCAGAACGCATGTCTTCACTTCACATCCTCACCTCACCTAATTTCACCTACATCACATCACCTCACCTCACCAGAATGCATGTCTTCACTTCACATCCTCACCTCACCTAATTTCACCTACATTCACCTCACCTCACCATGTCACCACTTCACATCCTCACCTCACCTAATTTCACCTACCTCACCTGACCTCTTCCTTCTCTGTCTGTTCCAGGAGGAAAACATCGACCTTGAGGAGTTGGAGCAGTTTGCCAAGACATTCAAGAGGAGACGGATTGAGCTTGGTAAGGGCAAGTTCAAGAGTTCATATAATGGGCGGTGGGGTAGCCTAATCGTTAAAGAGTTCGCTCATCACGCTGAAGACACAGGTTCGATTCCCCACATGGGTACAGTAAGCCCATTTCTGGTGTCCCCCACTGTGATATTGCTGGAAGATTGCTAAAAGTGGTGTAAAACTAAACTCACTCACTCAAAAACATAATTCATCCTCTTTTATCATCCTCTTTACATACAAAAAAAGTTTCCAGAAAAAATAGGAAGAACAGAGTATGTAACCCTCGTATCTTGGCAAGCCTCAGAGTTTTTAAATTTTTGACATGTCAATGAGATTCACTGCATATCATTTAAGATGATGTTACTGTGAAACTACCCGCATGTGTAAACTAGAGAACTGAATATTTAAAGGTCAGAGTAATATTGTTGCAATACAAAAAACCTAAACATGTTCAAAGTTCTCCTCTTCTCTCCATGTAGGGTTCACGCAGGGTGACGTCGGTTTAGCCATGGGGAAGCTTTATGGCAACGACTTCAGTCAGACAACTATCTCCCGCTTCGAGGCCCTTAACCTCAGCTTTAAGAACATGTGCAAGTTGAAACCTCTGCTGCACAAGTGGCTTCAGGACGCGGACGCCATGTCACAGAATCCTGCCGCCATTAGCAGTGCCAGTGGTGGCGCTGTCACTCCGGAATCCATCAGTCGGCGTCGCAAGAAACGCACGAGTATCGACACATCAGTCCGTGTTGCTTTGGAGAAGAGTTTTCTTCAGAATCCCAAACCATCGTCGGAGGAGATCACGATTCTCGCTGACAACTTGAACATGGAGAAGGAGGTCGTGCGTGTGTGGTTCTGTAACCGGCGCCAGAAAGAGAAGCGTATTAATCCTCCGTCCTCGCTGACTTCCACCCAGATGCAGCTAATGAGTGGCATCAACATGAGTCAGAACCTCCTCAGTCCGCAGAACACCACACAGAGCACCAACGCTGGCATGAACATTTCTTCTCCAACACAGACGCTTGTAACCGCACCTCAGACTCAAAACATTTTTGTGAATAACAGTACACCACTGAACATGTCCACTGCGGGTAGCCTGGTCATTCCAAACGTGACAGCGGCGCCGTCTACCTCACCGTCACAACCAATCGTTGTCTCCGCGGCGACAGCATTGGCCAATGCTGCGTCCGGTGTGCCTACTGTAGGTGGTCACATGATACTTAGTACACCAGTCCATGACGATGATGCTTCGTGACAATCGTGACGAAACCTGGGTTGGACCTTTCCAAAAGGAACATTGCCGTCTCTTTATTTAATCTTCAGTAATCATTCTTGCAGAGACCAACCCGTATTGTATGCTTTGAGGAAGTAGAACTATTTTGGAATGGTACACGATGTTGGCGCTGCGTACTGGATGTGTATAAACTAGCTTTGCGCTACCCTACCTCATGTGAATGATTCTTGAAAACATTAGCCTGGTACAACTACATCCACAAGTTGTGTCCGTGGCAGCCTGGAGGTGGCGTGTAGCTACAGGACATCGCCATGGTTACGTGGTTTTCCGGAAACGTTTCAATGTTTCAGTGGCGTTATGAAATGATGATTTAAGCAGAGGGTTTTCTTTGTTGACAAAGTGTTTGATAGTTGAATGAGCTAGTGCGATCTCTAGAGAAAGTGGTTCATCCTATGGAGGTGTTGGTTTGGTAACAGAGGAAGAGTTACCATGGAGACAAGATGTTGTGGATCTGTTGTGTAGCTACAAGGAGGTACCGTCCTTGCATAATATACAAATGAAAGATGCGTGCTGTACATATTGGTTTGGCATTGTTCTCATGTGCTTCTATTGTACAGTAGCAATTGTACAGATTTTGCGTAATATTGGTCTCAGGATGAAGGTGATATGAGGAGGTCCTTTTGCTAGCAGGTGCCCTCAGTTGTAACGTCACCTGTGATTGGTTGAACTGAACCAACTGATGCATTCCTTAGTTGAAGTTGCCCTTTGAGAACAGTGATGTGTGACATTGTTAGACTGTGTTCTGCAGTTATGGTGGAGAATTCTGCAGACTCTTTGTACGACATTTTTTACAGGTTGCTGTTTTGTATAATGAATCTGTTTTGTACTGGGTTTCTTACCGAGGCGACCAAGTAGTTGGTCTGTGTGTGGATGACTATGTGTTGGAGATATGAATGACTGAGCTGTCAGGTTTTATACAAGTGTTATCTCATTATTCTGTGTCCATGCTGTCTTCAACAACAAGGTGCAGATGAAGGTGATTACTTCTGTGTAATGGGACCTGAGGAAGACATGGGCCTGGTTTGATATGTGCAGCAAAACCTTGTAAGTCTGAACCCTGTAATACAGTAAAACCTTGTAAGTCTGAACCCTGTATTACAGTAAAACCTTGTAAGTCTGAACCCTGTAATACAGTAAAACCTTGTAAGTCTGAACCCTGTAATGCAGTAAAACCTTGTAAGTCTGAACCCTGTATTACAGTAAAACCTTGTAAGTCTGAACCCTGTAATACAGTAAAACCTTGTAAGTCTGAACCCTGTATTACAGTAAAACCTTGTAAGTCTGAACCCTGTATTACAGCAAAACGTTGTAAGTCTGAACCCCGTAATACAGCAAAACCTTGTAAGTCTGAACCCTGTAATACAGCAAAACCTTGAAAGTCTGAACCCTGTAATACAGCAAAACTATGTAAGTCTGAACCCTGTAAAACAGCAAAACTCTGTAAGTCTGAACCCTGTAATACAGCAAAACCTTGTAAGTCTGAACCCTGTAATACAGCAAAACCTTGTAAGTCTGAACCCTGTAATATAGTAAACCGTGTAAGTCTGAACCCTGTAATACAGCAAAACCTTGTAAGTCTGAACCCTGTAATACAGCAAAACCTTGTAAGTCTGAACCCTGTAATACAGCAAAACCTTGTAAGTCTGAACCCTGTAAAACAGCAAAACCTTGTAGGTCTGAACCCTGTAAAACAGCTCAACCCTGTAAGTCTGAACCCCATAACACAACAAAATCTTGTAAGTCTGAACCCTTTAATACAACTCAACCCAGTAAGTGTCAACCTGTAAAACATCTAATCCCTGTAAGTCTGAACTCTACTGTATAGTTAAAATCCTGTAATCCAGTTCAACCCTGTAAGTCTGAACCCTGTATGCAGTAAACCCTGTTAGTCTGAACCCTGTAAACAGCTAAACCCTGTAAGTCTGAACTCTACTGAAGAGTAACCTTGTATATCTGAACCCTGTAATTTAGTAAAGCCTGAAAATCTGAACCCTAATATACAACAAAACCCTGTGAATTTGTGACTGACATTCATATAGTGGGAATCACCATCTGGACTTGCATTGTTTTTTCTATGGGGATGTAGGCCCCATTTTATAAAAGAATGGAGTATTGTATGTATTAGTGACAGGCCAACAGCCATTGTTCAAGTAAAAATCTCCAAGACAACTTTGTTGTAATCTGTAACTTTAACGAAGTCTTTGTAAATCCTTCATCATGTCTACAGAAGTTCGCTGTCTGATTTCATGACTGATAATAAATGACACCACATAAATTTTAGCCATAAACAATGAACAGTCCCTAAAAAATAAATATTTTCCAGGGACCGTTCATTATTTATGGCTAAAATTTATGTACAAAGTAAGTGACCCCCTGTGCATGTCATGTACAAAATCAATTACAACCAAATCCCCCAACCCCCCTTCCCATAAATTTTGAGCATATTTTAAAAATATTTTAAGTACAAAATTGCTGACCCCCACAGAATATGTGTCCAAAATTGCTGACCCCCCTACCTCCCCATAACAAAATGGGTGACCCCCCTTAAAATCATCATCATCCCCACTATCCATAAATTATGAACGATCCCTTAGACAACTAGGATAGTGTCAACTGTCAGGACAATGTTGTATTTAAGGGAGATAACTCTGCTGTGCTAATTTTGTCATGACATGCAAACAGAAAAATTGATCTATATAATTTGAATTTTTTATTTGTTTATTTATATACATTTAGCTATCATTTCTTTACTTAAAATGAACTGTTGGAAATGACATGGAACCACTAAAGAGGATTTTTTGTTTCTGTAGAAATATTAGTATACATCTTTATCAGATTCAATCAAACACATTAATGCATTCCAGTGATTGTATATCAATCTTACAGATATTATTGTAGTTGTGTCCATTTTCAGTGGCTTTAGAACACCGCAAACATGTATTGGAATACATTATTGAAATTTCTAGCTTTTCAGACAATCACAGAAATACCTCAGCTGTTGTATACAAATGTATGGCCCCCAGTAGATGGTAGTGTGCGGGCTTTATCCCACGCCCCTGGCATACAGCTGGTGTATACGGTCGTTATATCCTCTGTATGTTCTGGCATTATGCATGCTTCCAACCAACTTTTGTTTCTTACTGTAGACAAGTGGATTATCATGTTCAGGCATTGACTGGTTCTCAGGAAGTGCTACTGAAATGTTATATGTTGTGATATGATTAGCAATTTTGTTGTCAGAACAGATTTCTGCACTTGAACGCTGTTCCTATTTTGGGCATTGTTATGGATTAACTAACTTTAAAATAAAGTGCCCATTTCTGGTGTCCCCCGCCGTGATGTTGCTGGAATATTGCTAAAAGCAGCGTAAAACCAAAACTCAGTCAGTCAGTTAAAATAAAGTGCTATAAGAAGTGGTGGAAAGGAATATGGTATCTGTTATTGCAGACGTAGATATAATGCTTAGTGGAAGAAGGCCATAGTTAACGTGAAGGTCATCTTTATGTTCCTTTGCTCACCCTGCTCTGTCATTTGTATGAATGAAATAAGCTTTTAGATACCATTGTTTCTTCCTGGCACGGATTGACATCGGTCATTCTGATAGAGAAAGTCGACATGATGGCCAAAACTTTGATTGAATAAACAATTATACATTGATAAATGTATATCAAGTTTATATTAGTTTGTACTTAACTTCTAAAAAAAAAATGCTAAAACACAAAAATCCTACCTACCTACCCTAAATTTTAAAGAGGTGTAATCTTTTTTATTTGGCCTCAGAGAAAACTATCATATACTACTCAAAACTAGTCAAAGAACTATCCCTGCTGGAAGGCAGTGTTTGCAATACAGCTAAGACTGATGAGCTGTAGATATATGGAAAAGATAAGGTGTTCTGGGACATTGTTTGAGTAGTATATAAACGTGTTTCTTTGGTCCTCAGGGCCAGTTGGGTAGCCTAGTGGTACAGTGTTCGCTCGTCACGCCGAAGACCCGGGTTCAATTCCCCACATGGGTACAATGTCTGAAGCCCATTTCTGGTGTACCCCAGTCGTGATATTGCCGAAATATTGCTAAAATCGACGTTAAACCAAGCTCACCCACTCACTCACTCACTCTTTTGTCCTTAAGTCTAAAAGATCAATTTTATCACATATGAAAAGAAGCAAACAATTTCTTATTGATTCGATCACTAATGAATTGACCCAACATTTGGAGAGGAAGGCGCCAGAATGGTAGTGAACATCAACTGGTATTTTAGTGACTGTACAAAAAAAAACACTATTTCCTGAAAAATGGACAAATTATATCCTGTTTTTGATCTAAACATTGCAGTGCTTATGACAGTTGAGTTTTGATTATAGCGATCTGTATGATAACACAAATATATTAAGTTTGTTTCCTTTCCAAATTTCCAAAATTAAACCAAGCGAATCCGTGATCCTGTTGATAAAAAACGGGGTTGACCTAAGGGTCTGTTGGCTTGTATATCTGTGACACATTGTATAACCACCTGATACTTATTAGTCTATTCTATTTGTCACAAAGTTAGACTATATATAGGACTTATTTAAGTCTGCAAATATGGCGCCGACCGTTATTGTACAAGTGACTAGTGAATATTGGATGAAAAGAATGATCTCAGTGATTCCTTGAAGTGTTAAATCTTGCTTCTATTTGGGCAGCACTTTTATTTTTTGTGTTTCTCATTGCCCAACCGTCCCCTCTAATTTTATTGCCGACCCCCCCGAAAACTTTTTTTTCATTCCAACACCGCCGACTGAAACCTAAAACGTACTGCTTCGTCATATGAAATGTTTATCTTACAATCAGACGCTGACACAGGTCCAAAGAACGCGATAAATTGTAATAAGAATTACAATAAATGAGAATCAAGAACATTATGCAGATAATTTTGTCTTTATTAAAATTTTTTTTATTCATTTTTTATTTCATTAATTTCTTTCCCGACCTACCGACCCATGTTAAAAATTTGGTGGCTATGGGAAGCACATAAAAAAAAAATGGTGCCCTTTGATACCATTGTTGGGAAAGAGTGTGCCATAAACCAGTCTGTTTTAATGGAACCAGATTTCCCTTTTCTGTTCAGATGTTTGGTGTCTACACAGATTATTTTATAGACCGATGACTTCTTCCAATTGTATTCATGTTCGTAACGTTTGTGAATAATCTATTTTTCCCTGGCCAGTGACCGCCATTTTGCCATAATTCCTATAGCAATAATCTGATTGTTTGCCATGTGTTACGTGTGATATTAACCGCTTCTCTGACCTGTGGACTTAGTAGACACTCTGTTCTTGATCCTGTGCAGCAAGCATAATCTAGCATTGGATTAGAACCAGACTACTCAAAAGAGGTTAAGAACACCCATTAACTATCATTAATCTGTCATATGGAAAGATAGTGATCCTTATCTTCTTTTGAGCAGTATATCCTGCATTGCATTGTGTGTTACAAATTTTCAGTTTTATACAGTCTTCTGTGATGAGCAGTGTAGTGTGGTCATGTCAGATTACGGCCCTTGAAAGTCAGTGCTCTAACGATGTCAAACTCCATGGCCACACAAAGGGGGAAGAGGTGATTCTACCAAGATCACTTTCCTGAACAGTTGTCTCCATTTATTTTTGTTTGGTCTCGAATTGTTATGGTAAAGATAAGCAGGATGGGGAATACTCTTCTACAGTGATGACTGTAGGGATTTCTTGCTGTGTCTATTAAGCAGTGTAGGTTCTCAGTATCTATCCTGCATTCAACATGGTTTGGGCTCAATATCAGCAAATTATGAAATTTGTCTTGGGTTGAAAAACCACCACATGTAAAATTGCAGCAAAGAGTTCCTGTTTTGCTAATATAACACATGATTAGTTCTTGAGACCCCCTTGCTTAATATGTTCTGATATAAATGTAATTCTGTTCTTGACAGACCTTTCCCTCCATACTTATCTGAGTGCGCAATCAGCATTGCTGGAAGCACTCATAAAATCACTTCCTCTCGCTATCTCCATGTTACAACTCTTGAATGCATTCCATACAGGACCAGCACTGACTTTGTGTTATCATTAGTTGTGCTGCAACTATTAGATAGTTGTGTCAAAACAGCCTCAGTGTGCACCACTGTTTCCATCAGGACATGACAAGCCTAGCATGTCAGTAGAGTGACAAGAGGACCAACCATTCATCTTGGGAAATTCTATTCAAATTATTTTTTGCCATTATCCCATAAAAAAATATCTTTTTTTTTGCCTTGGATGAATTGACAGAATATGATAAATATTTTTTGATTTGACACTTTAGTTTTTTTCTACAAATTTTTATTTTTGAAACAATATTTGTATGGTTTGTTTTTTCCAAGATTATTTTTTTGTTTTGCCAATGAATACTGATACCAACCCAAGAAGATACATTGATTTTCTTCCTATACATGTCTTTCACTGTGTGGTTGAACTAGGCTGTCAGGCTAGAACATGGACAGAAATAGTAGGAAGTATCTCTACTTACCAGCAGCAGTCAGTTTAGATTAGACTAATTACTACTGCCTAACTTCCATTCACTTTCACATTATCACACTTGACTGTGTCACCTCATGAAAGAGAGTTATATTATCATCCAAAACACAGGAGATATCACTTGGGTGAAATCAAGCAATATCTCCTATGAATAATCACTGCAATGCAATTGCATCACAATGCTTTGCAGACCATTGTGACATTACTGTCTACAATGATGTCACAGTCAGATGACATTACTAACCTCTCTACTGAAGTTGGCTAGTTGTAGCTGTACTATTTACCCCAAGACATTAGTTAGTTCTGGTTGCAAATGAAAATTTGAAAGAATGATATTGAAATCAAAGATATTAACACTGTTCAGT